TTTTTTTTTACACTGGCACCTATTTGTAGCACAATTTTTGGTACAGGTGCACCGTATAAAACCTTGTCCTGTCCCAACTGAATGTTTGGTAGCTGCAGTCCTTAGTGAGATTTGAACATCTTGATTAACATCACTTTCTTGTAGAAATTTTTGAGTACAAATGTCGAATTCAGTTCTGTAATAAACAAATATTTTATTTTGACCAAATTACATAACATATTCATGCTTTTTAGACCAAACAAAACAGCGTTTAACATTGCGCTTTTTTTCTTCGAAGATCTTTATCAGGCCTTCATTATAAGTAAATATTATACTAAAACCCTATCTGAAAAAATTCATAAAACTTGAAAACCTTTTCCAAATTTAAAAACAATAATCATCGAAATCAGTTCAGATTTGACAGTGAAATAGAGTAACATGATCATTAAAAAAGAATTTCTTTTCTGAAGTAATTTGAGAAAAAAATAAATAAAATGCGTAACTAACCTGCAATAGAGTGTCTGCAATATTCCATGCTTAGTTCCAATTTTGTACAGGCCATCATTGTTTATTTCAAGAACAACGCCAATAACATTTCTTAGGTCGCCCCTTCCTCTGTCTACATCAGGAATCGGCACAGTCACATTATCTCCCACTTTAGCTGGTGGATGCGATTTGTCAGAAGCAGATTTCATTTTTTTTGCCTGTTTCTGAAGGTTTTCAGCAGCTGTTTGTCTTGCCTTTTGGATATCATCACCAATTTTAGAAGTTTCGATATCATTACAATCACTATCATCTCCTGAATTATTGTGATCATTTGTATGTCTATGGGTTAAATCAGTTTCAATAAGTTTTTGAACGTCATCTTCATCTTGAATATCCTTTATTATTTCTGGTGGTAGTGATGTCGTTGAAAGACCAACTCTGGGTTCAACTCCAAACATAGCTTTGTAAGGCGATTGTTTTATGCCCGAATGATAGGCCCTATTTTTCATAAATTGTACATATCTCAATCCTTCTGACCATTTAGTCGAGTGATTATCTTTTAGCCAACAACTGATCATGTTCTCGACGTCTTGGTTGGCTCTCTCGACAGAGCCCTGACTTTGGCTGTGCCGTGGTTTTCCATGCACTAGCTTAAGTTCTGGCCAAAGACTCGTCATTTCACATATAATACGATTGACGAATTCTCTTCCATTGTCTGACTGCAAAATACACGGGACACCTATTGTCAAAAATATATCATTCAAATGGTAGGCTACTTCTTCAGCTCGTTTAGATTCCAAAGCACGAAGCAAAATAAACTTGGTCAAGTGGTCTTGGTAGACCATGATAAATTTAAACTTTCCATCAGGTTGAGTCTGAAAATCAATGAGATCCACTTGGCACCTACTGTTCATTTCAGAATGTAAAATTGGCTTAGAAACTAAACCTCTTTTTTTTTTTTTTTTTTTTTTTTGAGAGGCTGTTTGCCATTGTTGGGGGGCGCCATTACTTTTATAAAAATGCCATTTTTGTTTCCAAAATTTATTGTCATGCCGCAATTTGAAACGTAAGAATTTAAATACTTCTATACCGTAACAAATGAAATTTTAATATAAATTCTTAACCAGTTAAGAATCATGCTTTAGGAACAAAATAACGGTAAATAATATACAAATTTACTGTTAATTTTTGTTATACGTCAATGTAAATTTTAACTACCTGTGTTCCGTGGTTTTATTTACTCTGGCATTTATATATATAGCCCATTAGGGCAATGTAAAAATTGAAAATACAGTAGTTCCTGGTTAACTTGCACTTAATCACTATTGATATATTAATTGTATAATTCAGTTTGCAAGACATATTTGTATATGTATTAAATACTCGATTCTGCCCCTGGTTAGTAATTCCGAAAAAAGACTAATGTTAACAATGGCCTTGTGGCTGTATGTACTGTACAGAAAAGACTCTAGAATTTATTTTCCTTAAATTTACGATTTATGTATCCGTTTGTCATAAAAATTTGTCTTTCCATTTTTTCCCCGAGATTTCACAAATATTCGAGTACAAAGTAACCGGTTTCGACCCATTTATACTTAAGAAGTAGTTAAGTTTATATATTCAGAAACAAATATAAGTAAGCACAATTATCTTCGTATAATTCAGTGTTTCTCAACGGGGGCGATATCGCCCCCGAGTGGGCGTTTTTCATGTTGAGGGGGCGATTAGTAACAATTTATATTTGGGGAGCGAAAAACAATTTTCTGGCTGATTTATAGTAAAACATATTATAAATAATTAGATATTTTATTCGTTATAATGTACAATAATTAAGCAAATAACATTATACTAGTCACTAGTCTATTCAATGCAGTACGAATTTGGCGCTAGCCTTGGCTTCTGGCATCGAAATTTTGAAGTGAAGGGGGGCGATACTACGTAATAGTTTTATTGAAGGGGGCGACGATTCGTTCGAGGTTGAGAAACACTGGTCTAGTAGAATCGATATATAGGCCTAGTATTTACATCACACGTTCTTTATTTGAATTCGGAATGCCAGTCTATTAATTTAAATTTTCTATATTATAGTAGAGAAAGCTGAGGAAAAATGGAAAGTATAAAGGGATAGAAAAAATTAATAAAATGTAGCACTGTTAGTAACAGTGGCGTTTCCTATTCGGAATTTTTACGTATGTGTGTTCCGGCGTAAAACAGAAACTGAACCGAAAGCTGATTTCAGATTCAGTTTTCTGCTACACAATTTTACGCATGTGTGTTCCTGGCCTTA